TGGACCTGTTCGGCAATTGGTTCATGTTTTAAAGAAGTAATCCGACCCAAATGACCATTAGTTAGTTTTCCACATATCTACCACTAAAATATTAGGGTCGTTTAAAGGTGGCTCCTGCTACTGCTATCCACCAGAGTGTTTTACCTGATGTAATAATGTTCATGATAATTCGCTTAAAATAAGAAACAGAGCTTGGTATTGAAGAAATCAACAACCATTTATTACAATGTACAAACATTACATTCCCAGATACATAATTGTGGGGGTAATATTAAGATATCAGGATACAACACAGGACCAAGCTTTCAGTAACATGACATGCTTCAAGTGATCTGAGGGAAGATAGCGTCCTTTATACCCTCAGGTCACATGCTAGGATGCGGTGATGATGTCATCAGCATGTCCGTTAAAGGTATACTGACTGTATGACATATCACAAGTGTTCGCAAAGTTGTTTACTCTTCTGATTGGATCTGAGATTGATTTTTGTGGATTACCTTTCAGAAACTGCATGTCTATGGATGTTGTTTATATGGACTTGCAGAAGGCATTTAATAAAGTTCTGCAGAAGAGACTGTTAGCTAATTGAGGTCAAATATCTGGCATAGCTTGAAAATTGGTCATGTCTAGGCAACAGAAAGTAGGTACTCAAATTGGCAGGATGTGACCAGTGGTGTCCCCAAAGGATATGTGTCAGGGCCTCAATTATTCACATTATTTATCGACAACTTGGACAATGGCATAGAAAGTCATTTTTTAAAAACTTGCCAATGATGCAAAGTTAGGCAGTATTATAGACAGCGCAGATGATAGCCTTAAATATAAATATTGACAGTCAAGGTGAATGGGCAAAACTGTGGTGGATACAGTTCAATGTTAGCAAGTGTCAGGTCATCCATTTTGGGCTGGAAAAGGATAGATCAGGGTACTTTCTCAATGGTATGAAGTTAATATAGAAGATGCCCAAAGGGTGTTCAAGTGCATAGATCTTTAAAATGTCACAGATATGTGCAAGAAATGATCAAGCAAGCTAAAGGACTGCTGGCCTTTATATGCAGAGAACTGGAGTATAAAGATGCAGAAATTAGGCTGTAGTTATACAAAATCCTGGCTAGACTGCACTTGGAGCACTGAGAGCTGATTTGGGCATCACACCTTAGGAATGGTACATTGGCCTTGGAGGGAGTACAACATAGATCTACAAGAATGATACCTGGACATTGGGGTTATGTTATGAAGAGAGATTATACAGGTTAGGTTTGTTTTCGCCAGAATTTAGAAGGTTACGGGGTGACCTGTTTGAAGCCTTCAAGATAATAACAGGAAAAGACAGGGTTGATAAACTATTTTCCACCGGTTAGGGATTCTAGAATTCGGGGGCGTAGTCTGAGAATTCAGGCCAAGCCATTCGGGAGAGATGTTAGGAAGCACTTCGACATGCAAAACGTGGTAGAGGTTTGGAACTCTCTTCCACAAATGCCAGTGGATACTGGATCAGTTTTAATTTTAAAACTAAGACAATTTTTTTTTTTGTTAAACAAGGGTGTTAAGGGCTTTGGCCAAAGGCAGGTATGTAGAGTTTGGCCACAGATCATCCATGATCTCACTGAATGGTAGGACAAACTCAAGGGGCTGAATAGCCTACTCCTGTTCCCAGCTTACTCAAGATAGTAGTGATTCATGAACTTGAACAGGGTTGACACAGGTACATGAAAAGGTGATCCTCCCACTAATCTAAAAGTAAAATAAGTGATATTTCCCTTACTGAGGCACAGTGGGGGAACAACTCCTGAATAAGTGCCTGAAATTTCTTTCCATTTGCAGTTGCTGCTGTGTTGTAGGCAAGCATTGTTGCCAATTTGAATGCAGAAAGATCTTTGAAACAGCAAATGAAGTAACAGTAGCACAGTGGCTAGCACTACTGCCTCACAACACCAGGGACCCAGATTTGATTCCATCCTTGGGTGACTGTGTGGAGTGTATATGTACATGAGTTTCCTCTGGGTGCTCCAGTTTCCTCCCACAATCCAAAGATGTGTAGGTCAGCTGGATTGGCCATGCTAAATTGCCCGTAGTGTCTGGGGATGTACAGGTTAAGTGGATTAGCCGTGGAAAATGAAGGGTTGTGGGGGAGGTGGGTCTGGGTGGGGTGCTCTTCAGAGGGTTGGTATGGACCAAATGGCCTGCTTCCATACAGTAGGGATTTTACGATTCTAATGAATAGTCAATCTATTTTCAGAGCTGTTAGTTGGACATTGGCCAACTCACTGCTCTTCCTCAGATCCTTCCACATCCATCTCAAACTTGGCAGAAACATTTCTCGTTATTCATCAGCCAGCATTTATTGCTTATTTCTAACTGTCCTTGAGCTGAGTGGCTTGCTTTGCCATTCCTGAGGACAGTTAAAAGCTAACCACATTGCTGTGAGTCTGGAGTCAGACATAGGTCATACCAGGTAAGGATGGGAGATTTCCTTTCTTAAAGGACATTAGTGAACCAGATGGTTTCTTTTATATGAATCAATGATCATTGTTATGGCCACCATTACAAATGTACAGTAGCTTTCAATTCCAGATTTATTAAATGAATTTCAATTCTACTAGCTGCCAGGGTGGAATTTGAACCCGTGTCCCCTGATCAATAATCTATGCTTCTGGGTTAGTTGTCCAATAACATTACCACAAATGCCATCTTCTCTGCTCATTTCTTGATTTAGGCACTTACAAACACCTCTGATGATGATAAAACAAGGAACTGCGGATGCTGAAAATCTGAAATGAAAACAGAAATGGCTGGAGAAACTCAGCAGGTCAGGCAGCATCTATGGAGGGAAAGCAGAATTAGAATGTTGAATCCTGTGCCCCTGCCTCAGAGACCCTTTCTCCCTATACCAAAAGTAACAAACAGAGCATGGCACATCTTTGTCAGCCAGATGTCTGGAAATATATATTCACTTGCACATGATTCTGAAACAAGGTGGAACATCATAAAGTTAATGCCTGCAGCAATGCACCTGAATCTAGCCAAGCCCAGACTTTTTCAGTACAATTTGACTGAGTCAACTGCCAACATCTTACTCCTGCCCTCAAGGTGCTGTGTGCGTTTAACTGGTTGAAAACGTGCCATGTACAAGCATAGTGCACCACTTCACACTACTGTTATTATCTGGACAACACTTCTCTCAGAGTCAGTTGAGAAGAACCCCAGACCTTGGAGCACTGGATCAGTGCCCAGGAACAGACAGCACTACATGGCCAAGCCTGCCCACTCAGTGCCCAGGAGCATTTGGTCCCATCTGGTTCAGACTGAACCAAAAATAGAGGGCTGAGTTACCAGGGGTGTCATCTAGATGATAACAAGACTCAAAGAACTATAATCCTTAGAGTTCCAACAGGAGTACAGAGGTGTTTCTACTCTGGTCTTTCATGAGACCCATTTACACCTTCTTCATTTTATCATTTCACATAAACTTCCAACACAACCATCCAATAATAGCAAGAGCCAACATCTCCAACAAGTGCCTTCACCTGTTGATCAGATGGGCCAATGAGCTGAGGAGTGGCAGATGGAGTTTAGATAAATAATTTTGGTAAGGCAAATCGGGGCAGGACTTATACACTTAATGGTAAGGTCGTGGGGAGTGTTGCTGAACAAAGAGACCTTGGAAGTGGAGTCCCGGGTTCCTCTGATGCTGCTTGGCCTGCTGTGTTAATCCAGCTCTACACCTTGTTATCCCAGGTAGACAGGATAGTGAAGAAGGCATTTCGTAGGCTTGTCTTTATTGGTCAGTACAATGAGTATAGGACTTGGGAGATCATGTTCTGGCTTTACAGGACATTGGTTAGGCCACTTTTGGAATACTGCATTCTATTCTGGTCTCCCTGCTACAGGAAAGATGTTGTTAAACTTGAAAGGGTTCAGAAAAGTTTTACAAGGATGTTGCCAGGGTCGGAGGGTTTGAGTTATAGGGAGAGGCTGAAAAGGCTGGGGCTGCTTTTCCTGGAGTTTTGGAGGCTGAAGGGTGATCTTTCAGAGGTTTATATAATCATGAGGGCCACGGACAGAGTGAATAGTTAAGATCTTTTCCCCAGGCTGGAGGGCATAGGTTTAAGGTGAGAGGGAAAAGATTTAAAAGGGACCTAAGGGGCAACTTTTTCACACAGAGGGTGGTGTGTGTATGGAACAAACTGCGAGAGGAACTGGTAGAGGTTGGTACAAATACAACATTCAAAAGGCACCTGGATGGTATATGAATGGGAAAGGTTTAGATGGATATGGGCCAAATTCTGGCAAATGGGACGAGATTTATTTGGGATATCTGGTTGGCATGGACGAGTTGGACTGGAGGGTCTGTTTCCATGCTGTACTTCTCTGTGACTATATGACTACACTCTACTCCTTTGTCAACTACTACCCCTGCTATACATGGCCAAAAGAAAAGGTTTGAATTGATATAGCACCTGTCATGACCCAAGGATGTCCCAAAGCATTCTGTGGTGTTCACTTTGGAAGTGTAATCACTGCTGTAATGTAGAGAATGAGGCTGCCAATTTGTGCACAGCATGATGCCATAAACAGAACTGTGATAATGAGGAGGTAATCCACTTTGGTGAATTTAATGCAGAACCAAATGCTGCCCAGGGCTTCTTTGCTCTTTTCCAACATCTTTCACATCCACCTGAGAGAGCAGAGGGAGCCTCCAACAAGACAAGACCTCCAACAGTGCAGCCCTCTGTCAGGACTGTACGGGTTGTGTCAGACTGTTATGTTCCTGTCCCTGGAGTAGGATGTGATCCCACAAGCATTCTGGTTTCAGGGTGGTGCCCTGCACGGAGTCACAGCCAAGTGACTGTACAAACTGCTTGCTGGAAACAGACGGTCTCTTCCTGACCGAAACAATGAGCAGGTCAATGTTCCCGAGGTTAGAAGCTCACACCATTAAACCAACAACACAACAAAACTTGGGAGCACCAGTGCAACGAGGGGTCTCCCCTTCTCACCTTGTTAACACGTTGCTTCAGATCTTTCAGTAGCTGCAGACAAGGGTCAGAGATCTTCTGGATTCGCATGTCAGACAGGTCGGGGATACTTTTGTTAAAACTGGAGAGCAGACTGAGACAGTGTAAGAATTCCTCAACCATCCCACTGTCAGCTTTCTGTAAATACAGCAGATAGCATTAACCAGCAATGGATTGGAGCTGCCATAGCCCATTGAAAATTTCATTTTCGTAGGCAGTAATGAACAGTTTGAAAGATGTTCACAGTAGGAAAAATATCCAAGTAGAAATAGCAACATTGCTTGCAGTGAGTTCAAGGATAGAATTGGTTGGATTTTCAAGAGATTGGCAAACTCACACAGACAGCCACTCATGCTCTATGTTACAAGAGAAATTAACTCTGCACTTCTAAGATGAGATTCTGCTCAGGTCGCAGAAACGCAGAGTCGCACTTCCAGTCTGACAGTAGCACGGGCTATATTCTGAAATGTAGAGGTTCAGACAGTCACTTTGGCAGCTGCTGACAAACAGCAAAGACATTAGGTAAGTGTGAGCTTTGAGAGTGATGGCAGGGTAGGGTGCGATAAGTAGGATGCCAGCTGGGTAGGTTCCAACAGGGGGTTGGGGATGTTGGTCAGGGTTCAGCAGTGGAAAGTGGGGAGTCAGTTCCCAGGAGGGTGGAGGGGGTATGGTCTGGGCAGGTCCAGCAGGAGTAAATGGAGTTGAATCCTGGGGTCGGTTGTCAGATCAGGATCTTGGGGTCATAAGGGGTGTGGGAGAAGTGTACTTGGCTTAAGTGTGGGATCTGTTGAGTAGTTATTCAGGAGTTAGAACTTAATAGTCTAGCTTTTCCCAATTAAATATTTACTAAATTTCATCGGAATCCTCCGAATTTTCCAACTTAAATGGAGACTTTCCAAGGGTTCCAGGCAGAGACAAATTGCCCACAGGAGAATTCAACTTCCTGGGCAATTCTGTTGGAGTCTGCCATGTTGCGGTTCCCACAGGATCCTCATTTGCACTGCCCACCTATGTTAGAATAATGACTGTCCGGCTATCAAAAAAATCCAGGTCAATATTTTATCAATTGTGCACAATGAGAAAGTATGATGGAAATCAAGTGTGCAGGATGTGCCACATACATGACTTCTACTTTTTATGCAATTGTGGCAATTCCAGTAGACGTGTAGTACAGAAATAAATAATGGCTAAAATAAATTCACAGTATTCCTACAATGACAGAATTTACCAAGACCTGTTGCTTATATGAGGACTCTGCAAAACAAAGGTGCGCTTGCCTCAATCACTCTCGGTGGACTCTGAAATTGGGTTTGCAAGGAAAGGCCTAGAAAAAAAGACTTACGGAGATACTAGATGTTCACAGCCAGATTATCTACTTCTTGCTCATTTCCTACATTCCAGTCAGGAATTTACGAAATGAGTGATGAAGATTATCTTGTCTCTAATACCAAAGGCCTGATATTTTTCAAAAATATTCCCTCCTGTCGCACTTAGTAACCTTATCCTTTCTTTCATGTGCCAATGAAAACCACACTTTTTCACAGAATTCCTACAGTGTGTAACCAGGTCATTCGGCTCAACAAGTCCACACCAACCCTCTGAAGAGTATCCCACCAAAACCCAACCGCCTACCCTATCCTATCCTATCCCATCCCACCCCTGCATTTCCTGTGGTTGACCCACCTAACCTACACATCCTTGGACACTATGGGCATTTTAGCATGGCCAATCCACTCAACCTGCACATCTTTGGGCTGTAAGAGGATACCCACACAGACACAGGGAAGATGTGCAAATTCCATACAGTCAACTGAGACTGGACTCGAACCTGGGCCCCTGGCACTGTGGGGCAGCAGTGCTAACCACTGAGCTACCATGCTGCCCCTACTTTCTTTCATAATATTGCACAACTTACGGTTATTTTCCCTTTTAGTCCTTCTCGTCTGCTTCTCCTCACAAACAGAAACACTGACCACCAGACAGGATGTTGATCGAAGAACCTGTGTCCCCACTCCGGAGGCTCCACAAATATCCCCATCCTTCGCCCGATGAAGGAGCAGTGCTCTAAAAATTTGTGATTTCAAAAAAACCTGGACTATAACCTGGTGTTGTGTGACTATATCCTCAATTATGGAAGACCCCAGAAAATCAGCGCAAAAGATAAGGCTAAAGCATTCACAACAATCTTCAGCCACAAGTGCCAAGTGGATGATCCATCTTGGCTTTCTCCAGTGGTCCCCAGCATCACAGGTGCCAGTCTTCAACCAATTCAATTCAATCCACGTGAGATCAAGCAACAGTTGGAGACTCTGGACACTGCAAAGGCTATGGATGTTGACAACATTCCGTCAACATTTATGAAAACTTGTGCTCCAGGACTTGCCGTTTCCCCTAGCCAAGGTGTTCCAGAAGTTCAGTATGTTGGGTTCAGAAAAAGCAGGACAAATCCAAGCCAGCCAATTATCACCCCATCAATCTACACTCAATCATCAGTAAAGTGATGGAAGGTGTTGTCAACATTGCTATCAAACAGCTACTGCTCATCAATAACCTGCTCACTGAGGTCCAGTTTGGGTTCCACCAGGGTCACTCAGCTCCTGACCTCATTACAGCTTTGGTTCAAACATGAACAAAAGAACTGAATTCCAGAGATGAGGTGAGAGTGACTAATGCCACATTGACTTAGTGTAGTGTCAAGGAGCCCTAGCAAAACTGGGGGTTACCAGTGACAAGGAACTGAGCATTTTCTGGTCAGAAGTCAGGAATCCTGCAGCAAGTAACTAACCTCTTGACTCCCCAAAGCCTATCATCTACAAGGCAAAAGTTGGGAGTGTTATGAAATACTCCCCACTTGCCTGAATGAGTGCAGCTCTAATGACACTCAAGAAGCTTGACACCATCCAAGACAAAACAGCCTGCTCAGTCGCAGCAGTGTTTACCATCTACAAGACGCACTGCAGAAATTCATGAAGACTCTTTAGACAACACCTTTCAAACACATGACCACTATCATCTAGAAAGACAAGGGCAGCAGATATAGAGGAACACCACCACCTGCAAGTTCTCCTCGAAGCCATTCGCCATCCTGAATTAGAAATATGTTGTTGTCCCTTTAGTGTCAGAGTCAAAATTCTGCAACTCCCTCTGTAATAGCATGTGGGAATGCCTACGCCAAGTGGACTGCAGCAGTTCAAGAAAGCAACTCACCACCATCTTCCCAAATGTGCCCAAGAATGGACAATAAATGCTGGCTGAGCCAGTAACGCCCACATCCCATGTATGAACAAAATCAGCTTGCCTCCATTGGTCACAGCACTGAGTATAGGAGTTGGGACATCACGTTGTGGCTACATAAGACTTTGGTGAGGCCACTTTTGAAGTACTGTGTACAAGTCTGGTCATCCTGTTATAGGAAGAATGTTACTAAACGGGAGAGGGTGCAGAAAAGATTCACAATGATATCGCTGGGACTGGAGGGTTTGAGTTATAAGGAGAGGCTGGATAGGCTGGGACTTTTCTCCCTGGAGCATAGAAGGTTGAGGGGTGTCCTTATAGAGGTTTATAAAATCATGAGAGGGATAGATAAAGTGAATAGCCAAGGTTTTTTTTCCCAGGTTAGGGGAGTAGAAAACCAGAGGGCATAGGTTTAGGGTCAGAGGGGAAAGATTTAAAAGGGAACAGAGGGGCAACATTTTCACACAGAGGGTGATGCATATATGAAATAAACTGTCAGAAAAAATGGTAAAGTTGAGTACAATTACAAAATTTAAAAATCATTTGGACAGGTACATGAATAGGAAAGATTTAAAGAGCTATGAGCCAAAGACAGACAAATGGGAATTGTTCAGTTTGGGAAGCCTGGTCGGCATGGACGAATTGGACCAAAGGGTCTGTTTCTGTGCTGTATGACTCTATGACTGTATTCTATGAGGTGGTTCTGGGTACCAGACATTGGCTAAGTGACCATTGAACGTTTCAATGGCCCAGGAAATTCCTGCAGACTCAGCTATGTTGGGAATTCTACATGATCCCAAGGAACAGGTATGGTGTGTATATATATGTATATGTATATATTCCTGTTGGAAAATCTGGGTCAATGTTGTTACCATGCAAGTCAAATAACTGATTCATCTTTCATACCTGTTCTTGTGAGCCCTCACATCTGCCCAGAGATCGATGGTCTATCTATGTATGACTCAGCAGTATCAGTGTTGAAACAATCCAGGTTTGGAGTCTCACGTTATTCCTGAATTGGTGTGGAGAGGTTAGAATGATTTGGGAACTGGACCTGACCAGCCCTAATAAGTCCTTTAACCTCGAGGGCACTCTATCTTTTACCACTTGCTTAGCATTGTAGGAGATTTTTTTCAGAAAAATGTGTTAAAAGGACATTTCCGCTTGAAAAATCTATACACTAGAAATTAAGTTTAAAAATAAGCTTTGAAGTTGGCTGGCCATGTCTGTTACAGTGAACTATTTCAAAGCTGATTGAACTATG